CAGTTCCCTCCTGAAGAGGAGAATCCCACACATTATACTTGGAATTTCTTAAGTATACATCCACATTGTGTCTGGGAAAGCCTGAAGAATCTTTCTCAAGTGTTCTGTTCCACACGATGTGTAGGAAGATCTGAAGTACTTAAATCTTCACGTGGAAAGACTAAATTGATGACACTGCTTATTTTCTTGCCATGCTCCACATGGCCCATATGACAAATGGAGAGTTTCTGCTTGCCCTTTTTTAGTTGATATGGTTGATGCCCTTTGCAACGGGGAGCTTAGTCACTGTGTCCTGGGATGCAGGTTTGTAGAGGGCTCAAAGCTAGTCTTTGCTTTGGGTTGTTATGTGCTGTATAGTTGAGCGAAATCCTGTAAGCTCTGTAATTTCTAGAAAGAAGACTGTTCCGATCATTGTAATGCAAGTCTGGGCTGGACAAGCAGGGCTCAAGTTAGTCTGGGAGTCTGGATAACAAAAGCACTTTCTCTTTAAATAAAATCCCGTCAATAAAGTAAATATCAATAAATGTCAATAAAAGCATGTCAGAAGTCGTGTGCTCCTCCCTTTAGGGATGGTTAATTGGGTTTCTTCCTTTGATGTTACAATTTATCTTCATTTTAAAATGGGAGGGAAAACCTTAAAGTACAATAATAAACTCATTATTAAAAACTAGAAGTGTGTGTCTCTAGTCTCAGAAACAAATTGAAGCTTTAAATCAAAATTGACATTCTGAACTGGTAAGATGGCATCTCTGCAGGGGAGATGATTAATATATTGTCTAGCAGTCTAACAAAATACTCCAATTGCCAGAATTTTTCTTTTACTACAGAAATAGCACCTCAGTTTTTCTTGTTTATTTGCAGTAGGTTGGATGCAGCCCTGCTAATGTTGCATATATGCTCACAAGTAATTCATTTAATACATGTAACCCTAATACTCCTTTGTTGTTGTTGTTTTCTATCAGAAACTATCCAAAGCATCTCAGCTTAGAGCTAGGTCATTCAAACTCAGAACAGTCCCGTCACTGGGGAAGGAATGTTGATGTTGAACTTTTCTCCAAATCAAGGCTTTTCATTCTAGTTTGGAAACCAACTTAAGTGTTGATAAATCATGCAACCTAAAAAAATATATATATATATACATGCTTCTTGGTTTTAATTTGTAATTAATGCCTGAAAGACATGCTGTGCTCTACTGTTGTTTTCCCCCACCTCTCCCCAGAGCAAAAAACAGCCTCATGAACAAGAGGATTTTGCTGCAGTGTGCTAGAGCTCTCTGGCCAAGAGCCTGTCTTGTTAAGGGATAATGTTTTTAATGAGTTTCTTCTAGCATGGTTGGGTGCTGTTGTGTTAGCTTCTCAGCAGTCTATTCCTCTCAGAAAAAAAAATCTTTTTAGATTTGTTTATGGCTTGCAAACAAAAGTGTCAGTTGTGTTCTAAAAAATAAACCGCTAGTTTAACAGTATACCTTCTGCCCTTTCCCTTAAGCCACAGAGAATTGCTTTACAGCTCTCGGGATCAGAGGGAGCTTTTCTTTTGGCTCTGTTTATGCAGCACCTTAAGTAGCGCGGATTTGACCAGTGTGTGAGCAGCCGGTGCTCCCTGAGGAGCCCCTGTCTGCTGCTGTCTCCGGTCCCTAGGAGAGGTTGGGTTCCTACCAGCTTCCCAAGTATGCTGGGAAGTTAGGTGACATAGAAAGGGTGGATCAAAAGGGCCTCTTTAGACCTCTTGATCAGCTAGAGTGTATTGAGACCCAGAACAACAACCATGTCTCGGAGGGAGGGAGGGAGAGTGATTGGGTTTTTTGTTCTGCTTTATCCCTAATCTAGGAAGAATATAGGTGGTCATTGCCTTTGGGCTAAGTGGTAAGTGCAAACAATTTTTCCGATGTTTTCCAAGCTCTTTGGTCTTAGCTGCAGAGGAATATACATGTGCCTTATAGAGAAGGGAGGGAAACTTCAGAAAAACTTATTTCTGTACTACTTCTTAGCAAACTTACAGTGATTTTTTTTAGAACTACTTCTGGCCATGGATAACAGCAGGCCAGTCCTCTGCAGGTGGTTTTCTTGAACTCTGGGAGTGCTGTAGCAGCAGTAGTATGGGCCAAGGGGCCTTTCTCAGCAGAAAAGCTTGGTCTTGAGGCAGATATGTTAAATGGCAAAGGACTAATTCCTGGCTGATACTTTTAGAGGGGGGAGTGGGAAGGTGTGGTTTGAAATCATACCTTTATGCAATACAGTAGTTGAGTCAAATGGAGCTTGAACTTTTATTGCTTATAAAATCTGACAGTTTTTTTTTCTTTTTGTGTTTTTTTTTAAAGTTTTTAGCACCACTGCTACGTCTCTTATCTTACTAATTAAACTTGGTTTATTTTGAGACTTTTGTTTATATTTTTCACATGAAATTATTACATCTAGGAAGACAAGTTTAAAACAGTGTTCTTCAGACAAGAGTAGTTAATTTTTCTGACTGCATCTAGTTCAGTTTTATGGGCACATTTTAGCAAATGCTTTTATCAAGTTGTGACTTTGCCCAAAGGTACCTTTCCTATCTGTAACCAGTACATAAGCCTCTTGCTGACATACAGTGTCACATTAGTGCCCACAGGCTCCAATCTGGCTGGATTATTTGGCTGCATTGGCAAAGAGATGGCTGTGTCACGTGCTGCATGGATGCAGAATAAGGAGAACGTAAGCAAGCCAGCTCCCGTTCTGCTTTGGAAAGCTTGTCGTGAATTTAATCTAAAAACTGCTGCATAAAACAAAATGTACATGGTCTTTGTCTCCTAAACACTGCAGTAATTAAGCCAAATGTGCATGTTTCTTTGTTCAAGCTTAGTTGGGGAATCAATAAGCTGTTACAGAAACATTACAGTTAATGTGATCCATCGTATGGTAAATGTTGTCAGTGTTGACACATTCAGTAATCCGGGCCACGTACGAATACAGATAGCTGGAGGAGGCAGGCGTTGATTTATTTATCTCTGGTCATGTTTAGAGTCTGAACTTCTGGGTGTGCGATGGAACTTGCATGCTTCAGAAATCTGTTAGACAGTGATCAGTTTTTCTTCAGATAGTTTTCTGTTTAGACTGCCTAAAAATATCAGATATGGCAAAATACTGAGAGTCGAGGAAAAGTGACTAAGGTATTATGGATGGAGCATCACAGAATGCTTAAGGTTGGAAGGGATCTCTTGTTTAAAAAGTCCTCTCTGGGTACATGTAGGTAACACTGATTTATATATACATATGTATTTATATATATATATATATATTATGTGTATATACATAAAGGTATTTTTATATTAATTTTTATTCCAAATTTGTATTTATATAATATAGAAAAATGTGCGTGTGTGTGTATACATACATGTATTTTTCTTTTTTTCCTCCCTACTCTTTCTTTTCCTTGGTTAGAGTTTGGGCAGAGTGGTTGGCACTTACTTGTCCCACCTTTCTTTAGTTCTGACCTAAAAATTACAGTTTAGAGTGCTGCAGGTCTGAAAACTTCTGGAAATAGCGAAGACATTTCTTGCATGGTATTATCTGGCAGAGAGTTGGTATGTTATTTTTATTTCATCTGCCTTTCAGGCTTGTAAGCCTGTAGTTATGGTGAAAGTAGAAACATATGGAAGTCAGAAAGTAGAAAGATTTGAAAATCAGGTTTTTAGGGGAGGCAACAGTTCAGCATATTGCAGCCTGTAAGCGTTATTCAGTATAGATAAATGGGAAAGCTTCCACAGGTAATTGAACCTCAGGTTTTAGTGACAGATTTTATATGTGCAGGGAAAAAGTCCCTGTGAACAGAGTTGTCTCCCTGGCAGTATCTGGTCTGGCAGGTCTTGCGAACTGATGGCCAGCACTGAGGAAATGGAGAGATTTGGTGCTGAGCCATTGAAGATTATTATTTAGATGTTGAGGTCTACACTATGTTTGAGCAAATGCTTCAAGTTTGTACGTTTGGGGGCAGGGGGGAGATGTGAACTGTGTGCCCCTTTTTTATTATTATGACCATCATCATTATTATTATTTTTGTACACTGGGCAGATGCCATGATAACCTTGTAAGAAGCAAGTTAATACCATTCAAGAGTGTCCAACAGGATGGTATAATTCTCAAATGATTCCCCAGAGTTTAGATACATAAATTCTGGCTCTTTAGACATAAGCTGTTAGGATCTCAGTGCTTTAAAGCAAAACCTAATCCTGAAATTACTTGACTTCTGGCCCAAGTGGGTGTGTTTATGGTGTATTTGAAAGACACTTTCAAACGCAGTGTGGTAGATGAAGGTGCCTTCTGGTGTTCAAGGCAGGTAAGTGAAAGAGAAGACTTGTCCTGTGTGTTTATGATTTCCTACAGGCTGTAAAAATGTAGAGTGAGATTTTAAGTATCTTTCAGCTGTAGGAAGGGTTCTGGAGGTTTGCCAGTTTGCTTGAAGAGCTGCCTACTCAAATAACACTGTTATTTCATCTGCTGTGCAAGCATGCATTTCAACTTCCTCTTGATGGTCCGGATCTAGAAACGGATTCTCTTTCTCCCTGACAGCTGGTATTCATATCTGATAGTAAATAAGTACTCCAAGTTGCATACGATGGTAATGCCTGTAAATTGTAAAATGTCCTTTCTTAGCCTATGATTAAATGGTTCATAAAGGAAAGAAGGCAGAAGAGCAGCTTAGGTTCCTCTGGTGTCTCAGATCACACACTTAATGCGGAAAGAGGTGGGATGTTCACACCTTTTCCTAGAAAGATGTCTACAAAGTGCCAAGTGACACAACCCCATTATGAACTTATTTTATGGGATTATTTTCTTTAGCATAATGTCGGCGCTCTTGGAGGCCTATTCTAGTCTCAAGCCCTTCATTTTTGCAGATATGTTTGGATCAGAACATTAATGTTCGTTTATGCTGGTTCTTTTAAGTTGAGTTTTTAAGGGTTAGTATAGTAACTAGACAGCTGCATAGAGACATTTCATATGACCACTGATGTTTTTGGACCTTTACAGATCATGAGCCAAGTAGAGGGACAACAGAAGAACCTTGTACAAGCCATTGAAGCTCTTCCAAGTTCTGGGCCCCTTTCTGCCTTGGATCAGGACTTGCTGCTTTTAAAAGCTACCTCTGCTGCCACCCTGAGCTGCCTTGGAGAATGCCTGACTCTACTACAGCAGAGCATGCATCAAGTGGGCCAGCACCATAGCAGGTCGTTGTCATCAGGTGAGCACAAGCTCTCTTGGGTATTTTTTATGTGATTTAGTGTTTATTATTATTATTGTGGTTTCAAATTAGGCAAATTGAGTTCTTTCTCAAAGAGGCAGCATGTGAGCTTCTACAGCATCCAGTATTGGCACCTTTGTTTTTGCCTAAATAAATAGTAATAATAAAAAAAGCTTCAAAATCTGTTGAAATCAGAAAAGACAGAAAAGGGGAAATGAAGGAGTTTTGTCCAAGTGCAAGGAAATCAGGTTCTGAAGAAAGTGAGAAGTAAAAATATGGATATTGGGAGGATGGAGAACAGGGAGAAAAGCCTATATTCTCAATAATGATAGTGCAGAATTTGTTTTTTTATCTTTTATAGAGACTTAAACCACAAGGGTGATTTATTTTGTTTAAAAAAATGTATTTAATATTATGCACTGTGGTAGTGAAAATCATATTTATAATCTTGTAGATGGAAAGATACTAAAGCAGATTCATTCCAGCCTGTGGTTTTCTTTAAATCTGGAAAGAGATCTTCCTCCTGCTCCTAAAATAAATCTAGCAGATTTATGAGCCTAAAAAGACAGAGTAATTCTACCTTAAGTTTGTGTCCCTCTCAATCCCTATGTAATGTGGTGTGCTTGTAGGAAGTTTGACCTTTATTTTCCTGGAAGTGTGGTCAGGGGGTAATTATAAGCAAACTGCACTATTTAAGATAAGGATCAATACTTAATATAAGAGGAGCAGCAATAGTAGAATTCTGTATCTGGGGTGGCTCTTTATCATTTCTGTATGAGCTTCAGTAGCAACAAAATCCAGTTTCAAGTAAGCACTCTGAAAAGAAGCTTCCTTACTTACATTAGCCCTATAGTAGGGCAGGATACACCCTCAAGGACTGCTCATACTACAGGTTAGAAAACCCTTTGAAGAATTTCTATTGTGGGGAAAACAGGAATTCGAGAGCATCAGCTGAGAAGTGGGTAAATGATGTATAATTAAAAAAAAAAGAGGGGGAGAAGGGGGAGGGAAGAGAACAGGGGGAGAGGAAGGATTTTTTGGTAAAAGCCAAAATGGACTTTCCCTAATCCACTTTCTGAAATAATTCATAAATGAACATAACAAATTTTTTATTTTCTGCATCTTGGTTTTCCTCTACAAAATACATACACACACACACACACGAAATCATGCATACATCTGAATAGTAATGATAAGGAACCTTTCTTTTAAATTCTTTGACATAATTTCATGTTGGGAAAGAACAGTTTGGGACAAAGATGAAAAGCATCTTTCAAATAAAAAATGATGGTTTTCGGTTAGGAAGTCCCTGGAGGTTGTTTTCTCATGTCCAGGTGATCTAACTGAGCTGTCAGCAACAGATGACTGGAGTTGTACATGCCCTTGAATGTGTGTCCAAATAAAATTAATCTTCTTTTAAATTGGTGTCTGTATTTGACTAGATAATGATTTTTTGGGGGGATGTTAATACAAAATAATGAAGAAAAGCAAGCATAATATTAATAACTGCTGTAGCGGGGTTTCATGTTTGGAAATAAGCTGAAAGGTGCTGTTTTAAAGTATTTAATAAAATATAATTAGAAGTATGGGGTTTTTGTTTTGTTTTCTCCCAAAGACCTTAGATTTGTTCAAGAACTCCTTAGGAATCCAAGTTCTGTAGCACTGGTTTGGTAACTGTGGGAAACTGAATGCATGCAGTTAATTCTTCAGTGTGTGCATGTGCTTACGCTTCTGAGAGAGAGG